TAATTGCTAAATGTATATGGGTGCTCTAGGCAATAGCTCACTTTTGTGTGTGTAAAGATTCTGATTTCATAAAGAAATAATGATATAATTATTTGTTTAAGAATTCAAGATATTATTGATGCTAGGATTATGTATGCTCATAGTGCTTATAATGTAGAACAGCACTCCCTAGTTGCCGCATACTTTACATATACAAACAGGAAGGTTTAGGGAAAATCGTCAAAAAAATGAACAAGTGATAACACTCTGGTTACCTTTCATCTGAAAGATATGCATATGTGTACATATAAGTGGAGTTGTTTCTTGGTTTCTATGCACTTATGCATGTCATGCACATATGCATATGAGACAAATTGCTTACAGATACTTGTATACACATGTATATAACGTTTAGATGAACGGTTATCAGGATGTTCCTCAGTTTTTTTGGAAGTTTGCAATAGTAATGGTGAAAATGGGGAATTGGATACAGTAACAATCTTGATAATGGTGGTCTATCAGCACTCACAGTCATTGCACCCCACCATGCTGTTGTGTATACCACTCTTGAATAAAGTATATCATCAATGATTTCTAACAAAGCTAAAGCGATATATGCTTGCTTTGCTTGCATCATAACTAAATAAATTTTAATTATTAATCATAATTTAAAAAAAAAAAACATTACAAAACCGATATTCAAGAAACAAAGTCATCGAGTCCTCGATCAATCGACCGCTACGGTTTTGGTAATTAATATTATTAGCAATATTGAAATCAACTCGAGATTAATTAATTACCAAAAAGATCTTGATGGCTTGAAGATACTAAATTGAAGAAAAACAAAGGAATTGTTTGATTTCATCATCATCCATTAACTTTTTATGATTCCCAAAACCACCACATTTGGCCCTCAACGGAAAAAAGACGAGGGCTTTTATCATGGCAACAAGGCTTTGATCACCATTATCGATGTGAGCTTGTCATTGATCAACTCTATACAAACTCTAAAGATGATAAATACCTTTCATACCTTCACAACCAATATTCCATTTACAACTCAAATTCTTCATACCCGATTCTAATTAAGTTTTCTTTTCCGAAAATGAACTTTGAAAACGTACGAGAATGCAACTTTAATTTATCATATAATTGATGCATCAATCTTCCTTAAATATGATATTAAACTTCGATACTTTTTAAATCATCTGATTCATTTAACTTCATATCGTTCGGATAAAGGTCAGATGGTAGTTTAAGATATTTTAGGGCAAGTTAGATAAAAAGAATTAGTATGTTTGTAGAACATATTTTATTTATATCCAGTAGCGGATCCAGAATTTTTGTTCAGTGGGGTCACCTTTAAGGTAGATCAAAGGCCCGCAAAGTCACCGATGTGTTTTTAACCTAATTACAACGTTTCGAGTGATTTTTAAAGTTTTTTGGTTGATTTTGAGGGGTTTTTTTTAGTGTTTTTGTCAATTTCAAATAACTTTTTTGGTTTTTTTGATTGATTTCAATAGATTTTTTTGGTTAGAGTAAATGTTTCGATTGGGGTTGAGGACCTATGGAAAAATGTAACGAGGGGAAGTAAAAAGTAAGTAATGTAAAAACCTAAACTTTAACCTAGTAATTTTCTTTTTTAAGTTTTTGACTGGGGTTCCTTCCACCACCTTTTGCCTGCTATATATGTCCGCCCTTGTTTATATCATTGCAATTTTCATAATAGGAATTATGTTTTATTTACTTAGTTATTTTTATGTCACAAAAATTGTAACTTTTCTATATGTTACTTAAAAATTACAAACATATTTTTTTAGAAATTCTCCAAGTAAAAATACATATTTCTTTATCATAATCATTTGTTAACTCAATATATAGTGTTAACTTTGTGAACCAATCTTATCCATTGATTTTTGAAATTTGTGGTTGAGATCATTCATGACATAAAATGTAAATAATTGCACATATAAACAAGCTAAATAAGTGAACAATATTTATAAGGGTATTTTGAGAAAAGATTTTAGTTGTCCATTAATGACAATGAGATATTTTATAACTGCCAATTAATAACAATGTAACTATTAGAGAATTACTCTCGTCATCGAATCGAAACCAACAGCAAGATCTTCGACATCGGATTCTTCTATAACTATTTTTGGTTAATGGTTCATGTGCGAACAAATATTCAATATTTATAAGAATTGTTTATGTGTGAACAAGGATGTGTATGGAAAAAAGTCATGAAGATTTTTATAACATCCATGTTTTATTTTACTAAACACATACACTATGTAGTCTCGTTTATATATAAAATAAATGTGGAATAATACTTGGTTCACCTATGAACAAACATCAAATTGTGTTTATGAACAATGTTCATGTGTTTAATTCTGAATACTATTCATTTTTTTTTAATAATTGGTAATTTGTACATACCTAGTTTTTGCATTAAAAGAAAGATTAAATAAAAAATTACATTTTTACCTTCATTAAATATATTTATCATGTGCATCAACCAAAAGTGTATCTTGTTTTTCTATTGGTTCATTGAGTTTTGTAAACTTAACATCATATATTAGGTTAACAAATGAACTCACCCATATATATATATATATATGCATATATATATATATATGCATATATATATAGGGTAAAATGCACAAAATCGCAATATACTTTCATAAATTTATTTTATTATAGCATTGTACTTTTAGTTTTTCTTATTACAGCAATGTACTTTCAAACTATTTTTTATTAGGACATTGTACTTTGAAAAATTTACCCATTATAGCAATGGGTAACCTTTTGATTTAAATTTACCCATTATACTAGGTTTTCATGCCACCTCATTGTCCACGTAGACTGTCCACATGCACTATAGTGATGTGGCTTTCTTACTACATCATTGTACTTTCAAAATTATTTTATTATAGGATCTACTAGTTCTTAATAAACACTGTATTTTTAATTTTAATATTTAGATATTTTACATGTTATTTAATAAATGTATTAAATGAATTAAAAAAAATTTAAATTATTCATTAATATACCAATATCAATAAAACTAGTAGAACACAACTTATCTCGCTAACATTTTTAAAAAAATATGTGTTTTTTGAAAAAAAGGAAAATAAGAATTGTTCTCTTTTACCAAAAAATATTATCTTTTAAAGAATATATTAAATTTGTTCAAAAACTTTTTACTTGACGTATAAATATATTAAATTAATTAGACTTTTTTAAATTATTTATTAATATAACAATATTAAAAAATTGTATATAACAATTTATTTCGTTAATATTTTAAAGAGAACTTTAAAAGATAGGTATTTATTTGAACAACATAAAATAAGAAAAAGTTACTTTTTTTACAAACAAAATATATCTCGAAAATAATGTTTCATATTTATTTAATAAATATTTTACTCTAAAAATATTTAATTTGAATGCAACTTAATAAGAAAAAGTAAAAAAAAATTAAATGTTTTTTTAGATCATAGCAATGAAAAATGAAAATATTAATAATAATTTGAATTTTATTTTTATTTTAGTTAAGTCAACAAAATGATGTGGCATCCACATCACCTCATTAAAGCCACACAAGCAAAAAAGTCAAAGGGTTAACCGGTTTAAAAGGTAACAGGTTACCCATTGCTATTATGGGTAGATTTTTTAAAGTACAATGCCTTAATAAAAAATAATTTGAAAGTACATTGCTGTAATAAAGAAAAACAAAAGTAGAATGCTATAATAAGAAATTTTATGAAAGTAGGTTGCTATTTCATGCATTTAACCCATACATATATGGGTGAGTTCATTTAACGGATTTCAAATCCGTCGGTAATAATTTATATTTAATTTTTTAAATACATTTTAATTGATAAATTTCGAATCTGTCGGTGATCTGTTCGAAATTACCGACGGATTTTGACGGTCAATAATATCTGTCGATGAAAGTCTATTTTCTAGTAGTGAAGACGTCGCACTTGAAGAATTAGAAGATTGTGATTCGACAATATATAAAATCCAATGCCGTTTTCTAATTATTTTCAATAAAAATATACAAGTGACAATAACTTAAAAAGGTTGAACTCGAACCTGATTTTAAGCTATTTTATCTAAATTATGAATGTAAAATTTTGAAGATTTATTTAAACATGTATTAATAAAAAGATGACACGTTCGTCCTTTTGAGATACAATTTCTTGTATTTTTACAAGAAATGTACATATTCAAGCATGCGAACATGCATAAGTTCGCCGCATAAAATGGTGCTATTGTTTATGATCCGACATACCTTCTTATGTGCAAACATCATTTTTTTAAGTCATGTCATGAAGGAACTCGTTGTATTACAACGTTCACCCTCCGGTCAAAAGTGATCACTCATGTTCTTTTTCTTGTCATTTCTTTTCATAACCGTACCAAAAATGTAACGTTCTATATACTTATCAGTAACCATTACAACCTCTTAATTAAACCAATTATTATATACGTTTCTTAATTCTATATATCCTTGTTAAATGTTATTTTGATTCTTTAAAACATACTTAAAATGGTTTTGATAATTAAAGAGGCACGAAAAAACATCAAAACCTATTACACACACACACATATATATATATATATATATATTTTTTGATTAACCTGGATATCCAACCCGCTATGCAAGCCGACTAATCCCAAGACGATCACTTGTTTTACAGATAGCCCGGAGTCACCGCATTTGAACCTCTGTGGTTGGGTTGGGAGAAAACCACAAAAAAATAATTTGTCTGATATACACATGTGCAAAAAAATGCACACTAGCATAGAAACCAATAAACATTTTCAACTGTTTTCATATACATGTATATATCGTGCGGATGCATAGTTATTAGTGTGTTACTGAGTTTTTCTTTTCTTGTGGTTTTCCCATGAAATCCGAGTATATATGTTAAAACCCTAAAATGAATACAAGATTTTTGTTTGGAACAACATGTAGATTTACGTATTTGGAAAGAGCAAGAACTTAAAAGAGATCATAAAAACTAAATTTAAATATTAAGACCGAAGAATCTTTGGAGGATTTTATGTACAATTCCGGGGACTAAATTTAAAGCATATGGGAATAAAGAAGAGAGTGATCAGTGGCACTGTTTAGCTGCAAAACGCCCTACCAATTAAGGAAGCTGCAGGTCACCGGAATCTTGGTTTTCCAGGCTCTTTACTTGTTGTAACTCATCACTGCTCCCTTCTATATCCACCACCGTCGATGCCGTTGAATTGCTCCGGCAACTGCTACAACCACTACTACCAAACGACGACGCTCTGCTGGAAACTGGTGTTGCCAAATACGTTGGTTTCGCTTCTCCGGCCATAATCACGAGATACTTTTCTTCCAAAACCGTGGGCGTCTTTTCGTTGGCGTTATCAGGTTTGATGTCGCTGTCACCGGATTCAAGGTCCCTGTCGGCGTCAGGGCGGTTGTCCAAGTAGCCGGATAGCTTCCAGTAGGAGCATGCAAGAATCAAGAGGGCAAAAGCAATGAGGCCCAACATGGCAGCAAGGCCTCCAAAGAGGTATGGAACAGGTGAATGCCAGGGTGATCGTTGGGCAGACATGACCACCGCTGACGACGGAGCCAAAGAAGAAGCTGATTGAATAGACATGGTGGTTGTTTGATTGGTTGTAGTAAGTAGAAAGAGAGAATTAAAAAGCTTAGAAATGTGATTGGGAGATGAGTGGATTAGGTGTTGGTTCTGTCAGGTTATATTTATAGAAGATAGCGTGTGATTTTTGTTTTTTCACTTCTTTCTCCATTTAAAAAAAAATTCAAATATTAAATAAAATTCAAATATTAATTGTTTTAAATATTATTTTAAAACAATTTCAAATGGGTCAACATATTTTTAAAACCATTTAACTTCCTAAATCATGCTATTTTAGAATAATATCACCAACAAAAACAAACCGGATCAAGACGGAATAAGATCTTATATGTTAATTAATATGAGGAATAAAAATTCTCTTGTGGTCATGGAGATTCAAATGCGGTGACTCCGAGTTATTTACAAAGCAGATGGTCGTTCTGAAATTAGTCGGCTCGCATAGCGGTTTGGATATACATGTTAATAAAAAAAATGAAACGTTTTCAAAATTAAAATTAATTGTATGATTTATAATTTATGTTCTTCATTTTCACCCGTCCCCTTTCTTAAAAACACCTCCACCCCTTTTGGTTCCCTTTGAGACGAAACAATTCTAGTTTAATTAAGTAATTCTACTCCTATCATCAAAATTGTAACCATCATCGTCCATTGACTTCAGTCCAAAAAATGTTTTCATTTCAGTTTTTTCGTTGGCGATGAAGGGATGTTTGGTGTTGTATATCACTAGCTAGGGTTTTCTTTCATTGCCTAATTAGATTCAACACCATCTCATACCACTCCTTATGCATCGTGTTGTCATATTCATCGTTGTTATTCCCTGTACGCCCTTTTCTCTTCATCGTCATTTCCCATCAACAATTGTAACACCCAGAATCCTTGATTAATTTATTTATGAGCTTTGGACTTGAGTTTCGATCTATATATAATGTTGATTTATTAGACTTGAATGCTAAATATAAGTTTTGCTATTAAATTGAGCTTGGAAATCCAAGAAAAATGGGAAAAAGAACCAAAACTGGAGGTGTCACGACCTGTCTTGCGATCTCAATTCATGGCCGGTATCACATAAGTCGCTGGACAAAGAGAGGTGGGAAACAGAAGGTCCCATGACTAGGCACTTGACCTAGCTCGCGGGAGAAGTCGCGTGGAAAGTTGAGTTGTGTGGATAAATGACACGAGCGACCTGCACCGCGACCTTATATCGTTGGTGAGTTCGTGGGAATGGGGTATGGTCGTATTAGGCCGATTTTGAGGGTTTTGCATTCATTTTCTCCACTACACTTCTCCTATCTCATTTTTCTCTACACCCACCTCATTTATTTCGATTTTTATAAGCATTTAAGGCAATTCTTTAAGGATTTCAAAGGGGTTACCATCATCAAAGATAAGGATTAAGTCTAGGTTTCAAGCTTCAATTCTCATCTTTATTTTTAGGGTTTCTTTGATTTTCTAGGTTATTTGCCTGAAACCTAACATTGTGAGTTCATCATATACTTTTTTAAACCTATATATATGTTAAAATGTTGTATTTTAGTTTCTTAAAGCTCTCATTTCATGTATTTCCTACCTTGTTGATTTTTGGACAATTCAGGTCAAATTTTGAGGAGTTCGGGGACTTTATGCATGTTTATAAAATAGGTGTGGAGAATATTTTGTATGTTATGGAGATGATTATTTCAAAGTTGTGATGGATTTGGATCCAAAGTTCAGAAATGGTTTTATCATTAGATTTGTTGATAAAATAAGGATTTTACCAACTTGATAACTGTTTATACACAAATACTCAGGTATTGGACATGGTTTTACATATCTAGAAGTTTATAAGGTATTAGACTGTAATATAATGGGATCCAAAGGCATACGAGTCGGTTTTATTGAAATGAATGAGATATATTCTCTAATTTAACTTGAAATAGACATTGGGTCTTCATAAGCAATATGATGTGGACTCTTAGAGTCGAGCATCGACTATTGACCAATATAATGTAGTTTCTAGTGAACGAGCTAGGTTAGAATTATTGGGGTTCTCAATATATAAACCTTGTTTGCTAGAACTTGGTGACCTCACAAGTGATAGACCTGGGGTGGTTGAGCTTGATAACTCATTAAACTAAAGACCTGGAGTGGTTGGATTTAATGAATGTTAATTCTTCAACGATGCTAATTAGCATAGATATGTGACCTATTTTCATGTTCCGTCATTATCAATGGTAAATCGGATCTCCTCCATCATCAGAAGATCTATTGTGCCCTTTATATGTTGAGGATGGTATTTCTGGATAATTCACCTGAATAAAACTATATTTTCTGTTTTATAACTTTATTCTTTAATTGTTTGACTTACTAGGGCCCAGGCTAAGCCTGACACTTTTTTCTTAAATGACATGTTTATCAAGATCTCAAGATGATGGAACTTCTAATGCTTGAGTGGTGTGTTGAGTGCCGATAGAGGTATTTTTTGGGATATCAACTTTTGGTTGATCTTTGAAGTTACGATGCTATAGAAATTCTTTTTGTGATTGTAGTAACACTCAGTTGTAATCTTAACCCATAATTAGTTTAGATTAGTAAGTTGTTACTTGTTAGCTACCATCCATTCCTTGTGATGTAAACTCTTTTACGATTTCCCCTTTTGGGTGATTTTAGTATTTATGGGTTTACTCTATTTATTTTTACAATTTAAAATTCCTCCTATTTAAGAGTGTTACAACAATATCAACATCAGTTTCACTCTTTACAATTCACTCCTTAGAGCTTCGTCATCATTTCTTTTCCATTGAATCTCGGTTATAATTTGTTACACTTTTTTAGTTAACAAGGTGATGCAAGACAATGTCTTATCACTTACTTGTATGAGGTTTAGTTCTACCTACTTATAAGACGCTTGCTCAAATTGGGAATCCTGATCACTATAACGACACAATAAAAGCATGTTTGGTTTGATCTAATATGTCTTGAAAGATTTAGACTTCATGAAACCAATGACCTACATAGATGAAATGCCAATGTTGTAGTTCCGCATAATTTTTTTAATAAATAGTTGATTATTTAAAAAAAAACAACTATACAACTGACAACAATAAATGACGACATATGTCATTGTCACAGGTTTTAGTAATAAAAAGTATTTTTATTAATTTAGGAATTGTGTCGTTTGGCTTTAAAAACCCACTCCCTCATCCCCAAATCAAAACATTTATAAACCGATTCAATCAGTGTCGACAACAACTTCATCTCGGGTCCACTAGTAGGATCAGATCGTCATGTAAGTATCTATAAGCTATCAATTTATGTATACAATCTAACGATGGTTCATCAATCTTGAGATCTCTCAAAAAGCAAACTTTGATGACGAAACTTAAAATGAGTTAAGATGGTTCGTAACATTAGGGTTTTTGTTTGTTTTGATTTGATATAATGTCATTAAAGTTTTTAGGTCCATTTGATTTTGATTTTAAGTGTGAGCGGGTCATCACAGAAAATGGAGGCTTTAGTCTCTATTTTTATATTCAAAAGATAAATAATTAAATAAAATAGAAAAAAAAGAAAAAGAAATATAAAAATCAATTAAAAAGTTAAAGCAAGTCCTAGAATGACAAAAAATACCTCATGTTTACAATTTTTTTAAGGGAGTTAGTTAGAAGGACGGAAATAACAACATATTGTAAACGATACTAACAAAAACCAGAAATTTTGAAGACAACTGATAAAAACCTCAATTTTCAACAAAAATCTTATAGATCGTTTACTAAACAATTACCAATATTACTTACTTTATTGACTGATATGATAAAAACTGATGATCTTACCCGGTAAGAGACATAATAATGACTGATAGTCTTATCCGGTAAACACATATATGGTTTAAGATGATAACCAAAAATCCATTTTGATAATCAAAAATATTACATGATAAGGTAAATGAAGGTAATCTTTGTTATCTGTAAGAGTTTACTCGGTAACCGAATATTAGTTTATAAAATATAATCAAAACTAAAATTTATATAAAATTATAAAATAATAATAATAATAAGCATTTTAATCAGAGGTGGAAATTTGGAAAATTCCTTTGATTCTCAAAAAAGTTGAGATGGTGCCCTGTGAGTGATCATCTACAAGAGCCCTTACACTATCTACTAAGCAACCGCAATCACCAGCACTCAGCCTTGATGACTTTAAGGAAAATCAATAAAATTTCTAAAAGCAAAACTAAGGTAGCTGATGCGAGGTCTCCTGGTTTTCCCTGGTCCTTACTTGTACCTGATCGAAACTCCCCTGTTTTTCCTCTTCCGGCATCGACGATGTCTCTGTCGACGCCGTCGAGTTGCTCCGGCAACTACAACTACCAAACGACGACGCCCTGCTTGAAATAGGCGTTGCCAAGAACGTGGGTTTCGCTTGTCCGGCCATGATCACGAGATACTTCTCTTCAAAAACAGGGGGCTCCTTCTGATTATCGGGTTTGGAGTCTCCTTCTCCGGCTTCTCCGTCACCGTTTCCGGCCTCAAGGTCTCTCCGTTCTTGGGCGGTGAGCTTCCAGTAGGAGCAAGCGAGGATCAAGAGGGCAAAAGCAATGAGAGCCAGCATGGCAGCAAGGCCGCCAAACAGGTAGGGGACTGGCGAATGCCAAGGTGATCGTTGTATGGCCACCGGAGACGAAGGAGCCATTGAAGAGGTTGCTTGAAACGTCATGAATAGTGGTGGTAAAGAAGAGAGAAATGGAAGATGATTAGAGTGGATTAGGAAGTGGTTCGATGTGATGGAATTTATACACGAAAAAGTGTGGATTTTTGGGTGAAAAATGGCGTCATATTTTATGTTTCCTTTTGGTGTAAAAATGGAATACTCTTGTTTCTGTACGAAATGGGTTTAGTGCCAGTGCCTTTTTCTCTAAAATTATGTATATAAATATGCTTTTGTTTCGAGTAAAATAAGTAATCCTATTACTTTTGCTCTTAAAAATGGCAATAAATTTTATGATATATCATTTACATCAAATCCAATCATTAATAATTATTAGAGTCTTATACGAACTAAATTTCGACTAATTTTGATCATTTACATACTTTAGAACATTCATTCTATTTTTAAGGACTCTTTTGAAAAGTAAGTTTGTGGTTCCATATATTGTTACATAATATCAGAGTCAATATCTACCAATCTAGGAATTTGACATTTTGGGGCAATCTTGTCCGTCCCCTTCACCCGTATAACACTTTGGGACAATAAGTGTCGGTCTAGCCTTTGTTAGAGGGGGCATGTTAGAGTATCATGCACATCAGCAAGACTTGAATTTATTTTCTTTTATATATGTTGGTACCTCCATTAAATACTTTTTTAGAGAGTAAATTTGGGGTGTCTACAAATTCTCAAAATAATATTGAAATTATAGTAAACAGCTATTAAAAGCAAATTGATCAAAAGTAAAATTCAATCAAAATTAAGATTTATGAGGGATTGTACGTAAACAATCTTTTTCAATGAAAAATAGAACGATCATAAGAATTTATGTAATTCAACCATGTTACTAAAATTACACACTTATTAGAATTTAGTTTTGAATTTCAAATTTTGAAATAATTCATTTAGATTTATACCATGTAGCTTAGAGATGGCCAAATGGGCCCGGCCCGGCCCGGCCCGGCCCGGGACCGCCGGAGGACCGGGACCGGGACCGACAAAGGACTGGCCCGGGACCGGGACCGGTAAGGACCGGTTATGGGACCGAAAACCGGGACCGGTTGAGGTTTTTGGTAGTTTCGTGGGACCGGGACCGACCGGGACCGGGACCGGTTCCGACTCCGGCCCGGCCCGGCCCGAAAATTCAATTAATTTTATAAATAAATGTACTTTTAAATAATTTTATAATGTACTTTTATAAGAAAACGTAATTTTAATTATATTAAAACGCATTTTTAAAGTGTATTTGAGTGACCCAATTGTAAATTTTATAATGTATTAAAAATATATATCATTAAAAAATAAAATAAAAAAATCTTATTTTTTTAATGAAGGACCGGTTGGGACCGGCGGCCCATAACCGGTTATAAAGTACCTATACCGGTCCTATCATTTTCGACCGGGACCGGTTATGGCCGGTTATGAGAATGGTGAGGACCGATTGGGACCGGCCCGGGACTGGTTTTTGGCCATCTCTAATGTAGCTCTAAAACCTTCTGTTGCCATCCCCACCAACGGCGGATTAAAAATAACATAGCACAAAATAATTACAATAATATCAAAAAAAAATTTTTTGATGAAAAGATAAAATAATAATTAATTAAAATTAATAAAATACAATATAAAATACTAAAAAATGAGATCTAAATTAAAAGACATAAATTTCCCATATCATATTTTTCAACACTTGTAAGATTTTATACAATTAATATCTTTAAATTTTGGCAGACTAAAAAATGAAATAAAAATAAGATTAATGTCCTATATGATCGCCTACGGAAACACTCACTATATCTACCACGCAACCCACAATCACCACCACTTCCTATGAGCTGCTCTGCGCATTCCCATGAATCTCTCTAACTAAAGAAACCCAAAAGAAGTAAAACATTAAGGGAGTTCATGCTGTGGTCTCCTGCACGTTCACCGTGTTCCTTACTTGTACGTGACCGTTGCTCCCTTGTTTTGCCTTCTCCTCCATCATTTCCACCTCCGACGTCGACAGTTTCTCCCTTGGGCTACTCCGGCAACTACAGCTACCAAACGATGACGTTCTGCTTGAAATAGGTGTTGCTAAAAACGTCGGTTTCGCTTCTCCTGCCATGATTACCAGATATTTTTCTTCGAAAACTGTGGACTCCTTGTGATCGTCAAGTTTGGAATCTCCGGCCTCGAGGTCTGATATCTCTCCGTCAGCGAGCTTCCAGCAGAAACAAGCTAGAAACAATAAAGCAAAAGCAATGAGACCCAGCATGGCAACAAGGTACGGCACGGGTGAGTGCCACGGAGAGCTTTGATTAGTCACCGGCGACGTAGGTGCCATTGAAGAGGTTGCTTGTACAGTCATCAAGATATCTCCGGGCTTCTTTTGTTGTGTTAGGATTAGATTGGAAAGTGGATATTAATGGAAGATGATTAGAATGGTTTTAATGGCGGATGAGTGGATTAAGAACTGGTTTCATCTCATGGATCATACATATGTTTTTTGAATGAAAAGAATAATTTTAGTATCTAATAAATTATAATATCTTGGTTGAATTAAAGTTTTATTCTGTTTTAAAATCTAATCTTGAGGGTTAAATGGAATATATGGTGTGATAGTTACTAAAGGTTATAAAGAATAAAGAATTAGTGCGTTTTCCATTTTCAATTTCTTAATTATTGTTTATAAGGCAATAAGAAATAATTAAGATTCAATCCTCATACATTTAAAAGTTTAACTCGCGTTTGTTTCGCATATTGTGAAATAATCTGATGGAATTAGAATGTTGGATTCCATTCATTTCCTCGTTTGATTTATTCTTTTTCATGAAATGAATTCTATAAATTCCACAAATAAAGGATTTTAACATTTGTTAACAACTACATGGTATTTTGATGGAATGAAATTCTCTCTTTTCATAATACTAAATATAAATATGTCATTAATTCAATATACCTTAATCTCATAAAACCCAATATGACTATCGTCGGCCACCTTCAACCACCGTCGATCTGAACCACCACCGACCACCGTAATTTGAACCACCGCCGACTATCTCCATCTAAACCACCATCGACTACCACCGATCTGAACCACGATGAACCACCGCTGATTTGAACTACCGCCGACCACTACCGATCTGAACCATCGCTGATCACCGTCAATCACCGCCATCTAAACCACCATGGACCACCATCGATCTGAACAACTATCGACCATCGCCATCTGAACCACAACGGATCACCATCGATTTGAACCACTGCCAACTACTACTGATTTGAATCACCGCCTACTACTGTCAATCTGAACCACCGCCGATCTAAACCACTGCCGATCTGAACTATATCCGACCACCGCCACCTGAAGCACCAAGGACCATCATCGATCTGAACCACTGTCGACCACCGACGACTAACACTGATCTGAATCACCAACCGGACACCGTCGACCACCAATGATTTAAACACCACCAATCTAAACCATTGTCCATCTAAACCACTGCCAACCACCTCCATCTGAACCACCATCGATCTAAACCACTGTCGACCACCGCCATCTGAACCACTATAGACCACCACTGATTTGAACCACCGTGGACCACCACCGATCGGAACCATCGTCGACCACTGTTGATTTAGTAACATCATTTGGCTTATGGTTATATTTGGATTGTGTATTTTATATTATTTTACATATTAAATAATTATTTTATTAAAGTAATTTTAACTTTAGAAAAATTAAAATTTTTCAAAAAGGGCATTTTGGTCATTTACCAATATTTCATTACAATTCCAAAGTTACAGATTCCAATTCCTTAACAGATTACATTCCAATGTCTGCCAACCAAACATGTTATCAAATCTGACAACATCCTTTTTCCAATTCTTTCAAAGTGAAATTCTTTTAATAAATTCCATTCCATCCAAAAAAATTATACGAACCAAAAGGCACCTAATATTACAATATATTCACAAGCTATATCATATCTCGTAGATTTAGAATGTATTCACAATATGTTCACAAACTATAATATTTCTAAGAAAATGTTCATAATGTGTTCAACTTGTATGAATAATTCATTTATATGTTTGTTTGTGCATCTTATGGAGAGAAGAAAAGAAAATAGGAGAAAGAAGATATTTTTAATTTATATTATATTATACTTTAGTTTTTTTTATAAAAGAATTGATGGTCTAAATTGGATTTTACGGATCTTATAAATTAGAAAGTATAGTCCAAAAGAAGGCCATATATAGAGAAAGTTCAAATGAGAACAACAACTAAATAAGAGAATATGAAAACAGTCAAATCAAGTGCAAAATCACATGTTATTTTACACTATTGGACAATGAAAGGTGTGCGGGTAACGAAAGGCGTGTGGGTAACGTGGCCTGAGACCTCAGGTCGCTGCCAAAGTCGTGTGAATCACATGTGATTTTAGTGTAAAATGACATTTGATTCAATTGTTTTCTTATTCTTTTATTTAGTTATTATTCTCATATGAATCTGACTATTCTCTCTCTTTCTCTCTTTGTCTATATATATACACACACCATATAGAGGCACCTTCATTTCTTAACCACCTAATTAGTACAAACTTTGTCAACCAGGATATTTTTCGTCTTTTTCATATATTGATATCACATTTCTTAATTATATCATCTATTTAATGATCATATTCCTTATTTATCCCATCAATTTATGATTTCACCTATGAACTTTGGTAAATTTTTTGGAACAACCACTGTTCGTACACGAAACAACATTATGATCAACTTTAAACAAAAATCATTGTTTCACCTATGAACTTTCTGGTTGAGAACTTCGATAAACAAATCAGAACAATCAAAGTTCATAGATGAAACAACACAATAAAGTTTAAACAAACACCATATAAAACATGATTATTTTCCAAAAAAAAACAAACACCATGTTAAACAAAGTCTGATGTTGGAGTTCAAGAGGGAGAGAGCGGTTGATGATTATCTTCCAAAAGTAAAACATCATTATCTTAAAAAAAAAACAATTTCTTCTAAAATCGCCCTCCATTTAATTTAATTTAATTTAATTTTTTTTCTTCATTTTCCATCATTTCAAGTATTGACCAAGGGCCTTTGGTCTAGCGGTATCGTAGCCCTTGACCTTCTAAGAGGTCAGGGATTCAAACCTCACCATAGGTGAGGAGGGTGTTTGAGTTTATTTGTTGCATTTACTGTATATAAATATTATATACTTAAAAAAAAATATTGATGGGCCAATCATAAAATCCAGATAGGAACGGAAATCAACATAGGCGCAAAAAAACACGAAATGGTCCGAAAACATTTTCTATCCAAGCAAGCTTTGAATTGATATATTATGAGCGTGAAACAAATTCTCGTAGCAAAAATTATGTACGTCAACGCAACATCGTCTGTTAACCTAGCCATGGACTCCAGGAACAAGTAGGTTTTGTCAAGGCCCACATCAATATATAGTTGATAAGAGGGATTGAAAATAAGTCTTTAATTCATAAATTCAAAATTAAAATAAATTGAACAATTTTTTTGTTTTGTTTCTCGATCATCAAAATTTTATGTACATATCGTGTTATACAAGAACAAAGTAGATAATATGCCCTATGATCACCTACGGAAGCCCTCACCATATCTACATTCCAACCGCAATCACCGCCGCTCGATCTTTCTTTTGACATGACTACTACGGTTGACGCACAGAAAGAAAGATAAAAGAAACTAAATCGGTAAAATATTAATGGAGCTGATCTATGCTCTCCAGTTGGTTCTCCGTGTTCCTTACTTGTATATGATCGCTACTCCCCTGTTTTTCCTTCTCATTCTCCTCTATCATTTCCATCTCCGACGTAGACGATTTCTCCGACCAGTTGCTCCCGGAACTACAACTGCCAAACGACGACGCTCTGCTTGAGATGGGTGTTGCCACAAACGTGGGTCTTGCTTGACCCGCCATGATAACCAGATACTTCTCTTCCAAAACATGGGTTTCCTTGTGGTTTTCGGGTTTGGAATCTCCGGCCTCGAGGTCTCTGTTTCCTTCGGCATCGTTTTCCACATCGTCGGAGTGGTTGGAGTAGGAGCAAGCGAGGATCAAGAGGGCAAAAGCAATGAGACCCATCAAGGCAGCTAGGCCACCAAAGAGGTATGGCACCGGTGAGTGCCACGGTGACCGTTGAACAACCACCGGCGACGAGGGAGCCATTGAAGAAGGCGTGTGTGGAGTCATGATGAAGGTTCTCTTTTACTTGGTAATTAGAGAGATTAAAGTTGTTTGAAGAGATGTTATGTGATCATATAGTATTTATAGAAAGGGAAAACGAATGGAATGTTTATTTAGAGTGAAGTATATATATGACGTACGTCATGTCATGGAGCCCATCCCGGTTCCTTTCTGAAATACTATTTGTAGTAATTTTACTTCAAAGATGTAATCAACATTCTAATATGATACCGGTAATAAGTAGTTTTTAGTGTTTGAATAGGAAAAAAAGGATGTTTATACCGGTGTCAAATCGGCAATAAGGTTTAAGTTACCCCATTCTAACTTATGAGAAATAACTTATTAGCTTTAAAAATCAAATTACATCTAACCCTTTTCTTTTAACCCTTTAACTCACCTCCATGAGATCGCCGACACCATGTCCTCATACTTCCCGGCGGTCATCCAGACTACTCAACCGTCGATCAACACAACACCACCACTGGTGACCTATGAGATTATCGACAATTTCATGAGAGCAGTGAATCGATCTATAAGAGCAACGAATAGGCTTTTAATTTCCATGTTAGGGTTGGATCTAAGAGCTTGATTCAAAAAATCGATCAAATTAACGATTTGAATCACATATTCCGCCCCAATTACAAGACTTTGGTGAGGGAGAAATCAATGTTGGGACGATGTGAGAAATGGAAAGGGATCGAGATCTGTTGTTGTGGGAGGATTCCAACACCACTGCTCTTCCTCATCGATGGCATCAGGTTGTTTCTTCTTTCCGGTACGACTGCTCTTTCTCATTGTGTCTATCTGCTCCTTTCCTGCCGCCACTGCTTGAAAGAATGTCCTTTTGGTCATTTAAATGGATAATCAAAATTTGTCAAACACGAAAAATTAACTTATCAAGTTATTATGTTTTACGTACCATCATAAACTAATCCAACTAAGTTGTTTTAAATAAGCAATCCTAAACATCCCCTAAATTTGGGATTTTGGTCGTTATGTTCATTTGAATAGATCTTTTGTTTCTTCTCTTGTATTTTTTATCGTCGTGTTCGAACTCCATAAGTTTAACATGTAATTCGATTTCTTTTATACAATCCATCATCGAATTATTTGCAATTTCCTGAAAGGCCTTTGCTAATTTTTGTGTGTAAATGAGGTTTAAATGGTTTAGGTTCAGATAATCAAAGTATTAAATGTTTAGGTTTAGATTATTAATTGTTTAGGTTTAACGGTCTCTTGTCTTTAATATATATGTATATTTGTAATTTCATTTTTGTAGTAATTAAAAAAACTTTGGATGTAACAAGTCATCTAAAAAATTGAAACGTCTCTGTCAATGTTTATCATGTTTTGGATATTAAGTTCGTATATTAATATATTAATGTTTTGTAAATTAAAATGTGAATATAAATATCTACTTTTCATAAATTTGAATACAAATAACTAAATGTAAGCAAATAAATCGAATTTCATGATGTTTTATTTGCATACACTACAAATAAAATTGAGTTTATAAGACCTCACCAATAAATAAGCATCATAATAGATAATTTTATAAAACTTAATTTATATGACCAAAAAATAAAACGTACTATATAAAGTCGTTATAATAAATTTATAGAACGCGTTTGGACCTTTTAACAAAAAATTTAGGACACTTTTAATAAAAAGTGTCGTCATACTCGCATGACATTTTTCAGAAAGTGTCATATAAGTCCATCTTTTTAGGGGACACTTGTGTTTATAAGATATTTTTTCAAATATTTTTATATAAAATAACTGATATAATATTTTTTAATAAACTTGTTACGACGTCCAAAATTGTCATATATATAAACTTATTACAACGCCTTTAGATAGAATATTTTTTTAAATATAATTTATGTACTATAAAGTGGTCTAGTAAGACACTTATTTATTGGTGGCGTGCTATAAACCTAATTTTATTGTAGTGATATCATTAAATCTTATGTTATATAATTGGTGAAAATAAATTCGGAACATTCAGTTCGGATCTTGACATTTTGAAAACCTTTTTCTTCCAAATATTTATTTATTAAATTAAAATTAAAAATAAAATCCTTAAAATATAAAATATAAAATAATTAAATAAAAAACAAACAAACGATAACGATTAGATGGTTTAGTTTTTAGTTTTGAAAACAAAAGGATACGCCTGTAACATAATTTCGGTTGTGGAGCTACCTAATTACCTTGCCTATCTGATTCTCACAAGCAACCTTGGCTGCCTAATATTGTTGGCTTAACGATTGGTACTTAAGTCTATATGCATAGCAGAAGGGCTGAACATACCTTCCATGCATCTCACCAATTGCAAATTATCTGATTCACAATTAGCAACTCCCTAATTGAAGGCATGCATGTCAACCACATGATATGCATAACTCTATGTCCATACCATACATTTTTATCATATGCATAAATCCAAAACATCTAACAAACTCATCATTACTCATAAATTCTACAACAAAATATTATTACAAATTAATATGCATCTCATTTTGTAAGTCTAATTATGAAAACTCGCCTAACCCACCGTGCGACTTGCATTGGTAACCCAAGATCGTGACATCCAATTATTACCATGCCATCCGCTCGCTTGCCACTTTGTCTCCACGATGTAGACCACTCGACCTTAGCTATGTGGCTAGCATAGGTCACATGTTATGCCGAGGGTCAACCTGTTCAACTCCTGAGCCAATTTACACGATTATTGGTCAATTCTAACCGGTTTTTCTTCTTTTTTTTTTTTTTGCTTTAGAACAATAATTACATGTATTTTAACACTTGAATCATGATTTCATAACATGAAAAGCATCAATATCATTTTGATTCTAAGCCTTTCTAGACTCTATTTTACTACTAATCATAAATCGATACGAAAAATAAACTATGGATGAATTCTTACCTTAATTTCATAGAAATCACTCCGAGAATTTGTTGCACTATCTTTAGTCAACTTAATTAGAGTTTAAGGATCATATTATATATGGTATTTTCAGTTGTTGTAGTGTAGTACAAATAGGTGTGTAAAGTAATCCTTTCATTCAAGTCAATATAATTAATTAATTAGTTTCTCATTTTCATGACTTGTTTCAAATCTTTAATTACTTTAATTTCTCTTCTTTGCTTCACCTTCTTCTCTCCAAACAAAATAACACCAAATGTATGCAATCTCCCAAACATGCGTTCCAACTATTTGTCAATTGAAATTGTTAATGCATGAGACCTTTTGTTTATCTTATTAATTTAGTATCTAAAATTGAAAGCGGCTAAGAAGATGATTAGTTGTGTCTTACTCTTAAATAGAATGAGTCCCTAAGATATATATATATATATATATATATATATATATATATAGCTCTACAATACTATCTTGAGAGCTATAAACAAGTTGCGGCTGATCAGTTTGAGATCATCAAGATATTCACATAAGGACTTGCGGGTTTGAGAATCAATCCATCTTGCTAAACTACGACTAGTGCATCATCAACAACAATATTCTCGACGCCAGCACCTACCTCTAATATTTGATGAAGAAAATTATGAATATTGGAGCATCTAAATGAAGATTTTCTTTAGAGCAAATGCGTTGTGGGAGATAGTGGATAGTGGCCTTCATGAATGAGAAGAAGATGAGATGAAGGATGCCAAAGATTTTTACTATGTTTTTAAGTTGTTTCATGCCTCTTATTTCCCAGGATTATGCGTGCAACATCAGCAAATTTTACATGGGATTCGCTTCAAAAGGAATTTCAAGGGGATGGCAGAGTAAGAGCAACCAAACTTAATTATGTGTGAAAAGAATTTGAAAATGTGTAGAACCTACACTTTTAGATTACTAGAAGTTGTAAACCAAATGAAAACTTAATTATGGAGAGGACATTTCCGATGCAAGAATTATGCAGAAAAAACTCATGACCTTAACTAACAGGTACCATAGAAGTTGTCACTATAAATGAATAATCAAAGAATTTAGCCAAACTCACTATCACAGAGCTAATAAGTTCTTTGCAAGTACATGATGAAAAATTGAAGAAAATCACAAAGGTTTTTGCAATAATTCTTGGAAGAAGAAAGGGCCTGAAGATTTCGGAGGTATTCATAAAAAACAGGTTCCACCATCGAAAGGAAATTTCCCTCCTTACGGAACTTGTAAGATGGCAAATCATGTAGAAAAGGATTGCTATTTCAATGGAAGACCTCAATGCCGATATTGCAAGAGATATATTGTAACACGTCATACTTTACATTTGCATATAACATATATTTCATATAAAAGAAATACATATTACACCACATAGGTCCCACTAGTACAAGGATTCAATATATACATAATTTACAACTGAAAAAATCCAAAAGAATATACCTACACTATCATATGTATGTCAACAATTATCTTCAAAATATAACAGACAACATGTTGATCTTCAACATGCAAATAAATACATAAGGAAAATAATCATATTTTCCCCTCCCCCTTAATATCCCGAGACCCCGCTATTCCTGCAATGCACATTTTTAAAATAAAATGAGGGCTAGACCGGAAGGCCTAGTGAGAAAATCATTTATTTACAATTACAGGATGATAATCACCAAAACCTGTTAAAAACATCTTTTGCATATAGATAAACATATTTCAACAAAAGCATGCAACTCTGTTTGTCACTCAAATTATAAAACCAATAGATTCTCATAACACATATACACCTTCCTTGAAAACTGCATCTTTTACATAACACAAAGTCATAAAACCCCTCTGAGAGCTCCTCTATCTCTTAAGGACCAGAGCTTCCTCTGGTTCTTAAGGAACATAGTTCTTCTCTTAAATCAGTCCCTCTAGTTGACCAAAGCCACTGTACTCCCCTTAATTAAACAAGTCTAATCTCAACCAGAGATCCTTTAGACAACCAGAGCCTCTGGTCCAAAAGACCAACATTTGATTTTTAAAGAAAATAATAGTAAAAAGATAACCAGAGCTCCTCTGGTTCTGTACTTTACTTATAAAAGATATTTAAAAGAATTTGATTTAGAAAGATTTTGTTATAAAAGACAGAGCTCAGCTACAGAGCTCAGATACAGAACTCAAATGCATAATGCGAACATACCATTT